GCGCTACAGTCACATTGGAATCGGATCATCGAACTGTCAGGCCATTTGAAAGTCCTGCAAATGAGCTTTTTATAGTTACCAAAAGCGTGCAGATTGAATTGATAGGCAGAATTGTTCCGTTCAACCCACCTGAAGACGGCTTCAGTCAAGCTCGGCCGAATCTTTGTCCATTCTGGGAACAACTGATCATCGATTGCACAACCAGCTTTATCGGTTAGCGAGTACCTCTCGCCAGTTTCGATATTGATGGCGAAACAGTTACGCGGCAGAATCGAATACGTGTCTGAAAATGATCCTTTCCAAAGACATGTTCCGCGATAACTGATGGGCGGGGACTCATAACTAATGAGCCTTAATCATTAGTGCGCCCTCCATAATCTCTTTTTAAGGAAGGCGCAGCAATGAGGAAGGCACAGCGATTATTAGTCCATTTTTTCGCCCATGAGTCTTCAATGGTGACCTATTGGTCATATTTCGGTTCCTACTTACCGTTGGGCGTAACTTCAAGACGAAGGCGTAGAGCTTGCCCGACAACGGCCGCGGCGATGCTCTCGTCAGCCTCGTTAGTGACAGTTAGGCGGCAGCTGGGACCATGAGCGTTATCGGTGAGTGTTGAAGACGTCGTCAAGTCAGATACGTTCACATTTGATTCCACCTGCAGATGGATCATTAGGTCCTGAGCTTTTATTCTGGCAAATTTTTGAAGTGAAACAAGACGGCAGAAGAGGCAGAAGGTGTGGGTCAGGAGGTTAGAGTTGTGGCGACACGTAAAAAATAGCTTTGCAGGCGCGGCATGTTACTACTGAATAGCTGGTATGGCTCTATGGTGTCAAATTAATTAGGACCCTGGTGCGAATGTCGCGCACGCGAAGCCACTCGTGATGACGCCGCTTTGGTCACGTTGCCACCACTGATCTCTCGACATTTAAAGGCAGCGCCCGCGTTCATTTGATGTTCCTACGCCCTCCTTAGATATCGTAGCTCTGTCGACAAGGGTGGAGGATGTACTAATTTCGCAGCTCAAAAGTACGAGAGGATGGGCCACCCGCTTGTGAAGGGGAGACCGCCCCGCCCACCTGGCCAGCATAGGGTTCTATTTAGGGCATTTTCCATGATTTTTTCTGCTTTTTCTTCACTACTGGATCACGTATCATATGCACTCCATGACCGCCATTCTTGAAAGCGGCTCAGCCTTTAAAGGCTAAGCTAAGGTAGGCATGGCTACTAGGTGGGCGGGACGGTCTCCCTTCACGAGCGCAAAGGCGGTCATCCTCTTCTTATTTTCGAGCTGCCGAAAATATAGTACAGCCTCCATCCCTTGCGACCAGAGCTACGATATCTAGGGAGGGGTGTTAGGAACATCAAGATGAACGCAGGACGCGTCTGCCCTTTAATGTGAACGTTCTCGACTTGACAGGCAGACGTACTTCGATCCATTTCCATGAAGTTTTCATTACCTATGTCCGGGATGCGGAGGCTGTTTACCTGCATAAGCCACCACCCCAGACGCCCCGCCCATGGACAAGGTTCAGCAAAAACGAACTGCAGGAAGGAAATTATCGCGGTCATAGAGCCCGATAGGCTTTTGTTGACGGGAAAAAGGTAGCAGGTCTCTGGGATTTAACCTTAGCGCCTGTTCAGGGGTGAAAGCAAGGATGACCCTGCAGGTGTTCCGGTACTAAAAAACAGCTCTGCGATACCTCTCGAACTCCAACAGGATACGTGCATCTGAGATCGTAAGCATCGGCAGCCTGTTGATTGATGAACATCGATGTTTTGCGACAATTACAGCTGTGTTGCCGAAAGTATTCACAAAAGCAATTATCTCCGAAATTGGTGGGCGGCGTTTCCCACACAAACTCCGTGATCTTCGAGTTCGAAAATCTACAATGTTCAAATGCTAACTTTGAAACATTTACGATTTTGGGGTCTTGCTGTAATGGTGAGAACGTTTTGGCACAGTAAGGATTTTCTGCTTGTCCTCGAACGAATATTCGTCCTTCAAAGGCCGTTGTCTCATTTCCAAGCACTAACGTCATGCCGTCGGGTTCGCAGAACACTGAATGATAAAAAAACAATATAGCGAGAGGAAATGCAAGAATCCAGCTGATTCTTGTCCCTGGCTCTACCTCCAAGTTCACCATTTTCAGTGCCTGGATACACCGTTTTCGCATCGCTCCGCACCCTTCAGCGGCATGCTGCAGACAAACGAACCAGGTTCATTCACGCAGGTAGCCAAATGATGGCACGGCGACGACAGGCACTCGTTCACATATGAAAATATGAAGGTAAATTTGAAAAAACCTGCTTCAATAAGCTATTTGCGTCTAAAATGGTAGTCACTTATCAGGAAGATTGTGTTCACGCGCCTATGAAGTTCCAGTCCTCTGAAACAGGAACCGACCTCGGCACTAGAACAACCACTCGCTCACAGATACAACATCTCTAGCACAGCTAACAAAAAGCTTAGAATGAGAGTTCACTTTTCACACCAGAACAGATCTCATCCTTGAGCTACACGCTCGGAGCATGAATTTTGAGGACTAAAATAGTGTCTACACATTGTGCTGCTTCTTCTCAATATGCAAGGTAAAAACATCTACGGCACTGTAACGAAGATTTTCCCGACTACTGGTAGCCAGCGGATTACGTCATCGGGATTGGGGGGGGAGAAAATTCCATTTCTTACATTCCTTCTCAAGAGTGTAGGCGCGCTTGCCCTTAGAAAAGCGCTAGCAGGAGCTAAGAACGGGCCGGGTAAGGTGGTTGGACTGAGCATGCTAGGTATTTGGCCCATTGCCTCTCCAAAGGACCCCTAAAATAGGCCAAAGCACTCCTTTGGGCTCCTTATAAGAAGCTAAGAACTTTTACTTTCGATTAACTTGCGCCTTCATGAAAAGTAGCTATTATTTGGGAGGGTGCAAATGAAAGCGCAGCCGTCCAGGCTAGATTGTTTGCTGGAATTCTCCGAAGTTCACGCGCTAATAAAATCTACCAACAACTATCAGGCGATTTTTATTCTTCGCAGCGCCCCGTTATGCTGCTTGCTAACCTTAAGAATAGTATCGATTTTACGCGCGTAAAACCAATAACCAGCTACAAGTGCAAGAACAGTTGAAGAAGATTGAAGTAATTTCCAGCACTTGAGCATGAGACATTTGTGGGCACAAAATAATGAGAAATTTTCACATACCGAGACATCTTCCATCATCGTGCCTTTTATAGCCATGTTTGCAAATGCATGTGCCAGAGATGCACAGCTCCGTTTCACGATCACAACGGTTCGAACACGAGTTCAACGGCTCGTTTGATGGATGACGTAACTGTGGAAGTGGCGAAACTGAAACAGCACGATGCCCTTCATAAGCACTATCACCCCACTCTCCCTCGCGAATTGTACACAAACTCACTTTTGAGGCAATTATAGCCATTACCACGGAATCCATGCTTACAGATACATTGCCCAGACGGCAGACAGATCGCTTCAACATCACATACGTTTGGGTCAGAGCGACAAGATCGAACAGGGAAGCAGGAAATGCCATCGCCAAGGAAGCCTAGAACAGCACTTATCTGAGTTGAGTTCATCGCGAAGACGACAATTTTTCTAACTTGCCCACACTTTATTTTATTCAGTATTGCTACATATTTATTCATTTGTTTATTTATTTATTTATGCCTATTTAGCTTTTCCTACTTTTAGATGAGTTGATTAATTCCTTCAGTTCTCTTCGAATGCTTTTCCACCACGTGACGCCCATTTTTACCACACGATATAGAAGTTACAGTCCTCATCATTGCGGACCGGTGGGGCGTGTCCGCCAGTAGGAGTGTGCACACTGTTGAAGCCGTTCTCAAGCTTATTTTGTTGAAAACGCGTATGCGACAAAAAGTGGTAGAAAACGAGTAATACGAAGGATATAATACAGTAATGTCACTTGCCCGCTTCAACAACTGGTGCAGAACGACTTCATCACCGCGGAAGACGGAGCCGCACTGACACGCCCCACCGGTCCGCAATGATGAGGACTGTAATACTTAGCCGGACGGACTCGGCACACTACTGTTTTCGACCACTCGATAGCGACGTATGAACTCCCTCTTCCCGCCCAATCACTGCATCCGAGAAGCGAAATTTTGAAAAAAATGCACTAAATATACGTAGGTAGACTGTGAAATAGGTTCAACAGCAGAGGCAGAAAAACCGGGCAAATTGTTCTGGGTTGTTTGGAAAACATGAAGCTGAAGTGGTGATGACTTGAACGATAGGCCCAAAAAAATGGTAATAGTCGAAATGTCGGCGCAGTTTGTCGACGGGGGGGCATTCGGCTTTTCATAGATGTGCCGACCCATCTAGGTAGCCTTTTCTCGAGTTGACACGTTTTAGGATGGTGGCTAGACGATCTTACTCCAGCTTCACAGGCGTTCACAAGTTTTACCATGGTGAGATTCGTAAATGCGAACTAGGGAAGGCAATGCTTAGTTATAAAATGCCTCTCCCCTCCCCGTCGCTAAACAGCGCCTGCGAGATTCCTTAGTGGGGACTTTAGCGTTACCTGTGTATCCAAACACATTCTTCCCAAGTGGTACTTCAGCTATGCCCCTCAACCCCAAACGTCCGTGCCCATAAAACAGGAATCTAATTTAGGTGCGTACAACATCACTGTGATTCAAGATTCGGATCGGGGCTATCTTGCGTTCTTCTATCGTTTCTCTTGGACCCTCACTGAAGCACCACCTAGCGAACCTGCTCTCATTTTCGGCATGGACACGATGACTGGACGCAGGCGGTTGTTCTCAACGTCACTGGTGGAAAGGCTGAACGGGGTGTGGCCAGACGCTCACTCGCAGCCCTTTCACCAATAATGCTGGCAACAGCCGCCCGCCTCCAGCAACCGGGCCCACTGCCTTTAAGCACCTGCTTTTCAATTTCGTGTACCAGTTGCCTTTTACTTGAGCCCAAATTCCATAACCTACAGCTCCTTACCTGCATTACACTTGCAGACCCTTTCATCCCGATCGCAAGTGGCATCTGGATGGCACACACCGGAAAAGTGCACACAGTCACGTGGATCGGGAACGCAGCACAGACCATTGCCAAAGTAACCGACCTAAATAGTTATTCTCAAGAACTGCAGTAAGATGAGACAACTCCGTTCAAGACTCACATTGCATTGGCACATTCCTCCGTTACAGTGGGCATTCACATCGCATTCAGAGCAGTTAATTGACCGTTGGTAGAGGGACACGCATTTGACACCGTCACCTAAAATTCCATTCATCCAAAATGAGCATTATAAGCAGGCACGGCTTTATCTAGAAAAGTTATCTCAGGAAATAAAGAGTACGATAAGGCAAAAAGGTATGAGAGAATAAAATGCGGTGCTAGCCAAGCAAGAGGGTGGGGGGGGGGCAGTACAATACCGCGGTCAAGGTAGCTCAGGGTGTGCTACATGGCTGCGCCAAAACAAGGCTTAAGTTGTCTGCGCCCTACATTCGAGACAGTGCTCACCTCATATATCCTCCCCTAACAGGCTCACTCTTAGAGAGCGCAGGCGAACAGATTGGGTGCGGTCAAATGTCATCGCATGATGTCCCTCAGCCACCTTGACGTCGGCAAGGCCATGCCACGTCCATACTCTGCTCGGTTGTGCCAACCTTATCCATCGAGACAATCGCCAACCACCAACTGAGACACCATCTCGGTGGTAGGGCGCAGAAGAGAGGAAAATGGGGGAGCTGGTGCACCCACCACACCTTAACTGCACCAGAGTCAAAAATGTTGCTAGGTACACTAGCTCATCCTGGAGATGGGTAAGGCGTAGTTGCGTACTTCATCTGGACGCGGCGGCAGCTGCTCTTCTGGTGGGATAATTCTCGTTTTGGCTGAGATTGCGGTCGAATCTTTTTTCCAGGGCGGGGTTACAAATGCCCCAAATGGGAAAGCCCCGCGAAAAAATGCATCGTTGGTCATAGTGCTCACGTCGATGATATGCAAGTCACGCCCTCGCCCACACTCCTGATAGGGATTCAGGGATAATCTCCACCGTCGAGCTCAACCTTTTTTGGGTGCTGTTACATTCTAGTACTCTAGCCAACGCGATTGAACCCTGCCACTACACTACCTCCACCTCAACTCCGGGTTATGGAGGTGTATATTACAAGAACTCACGCAATTAAAACTGCTATTAGGTAAAATTATGAACAATACTTACCAGTGAATCCTTCCACACATTTGCAGCGCCTTCCGATACACATCGCTTCCGGGCTGCATAGATCCTTACGGAGAACGCAGTCCTGCAATTGAGTACTGTTATAGCCTGGGAAAGGGGCAATCGAAGAAAAACACACTGTACCTGTGGATCAGGGTTACACACGAAGCCGTCTCCAATGTGTCCCATCGTGCACGAGCACTGACGAGTATGAGGATCACAAGCAGCGTTCGGATGACATACCGTCGGATCAGCGACACAGTCAGGACGAACGAATTTCCTGCAGAGGATGCTTAGTGTGATCCTACTTTAAAGACGTTCCCTTCAAAAAGCACTTTGGCCACACCTCTTAAACTCGAAAGAGATCCCTTTATGATTAGGGAAAGGATGAGTAGAAGTGATTTTAGCCACACAAAATCAGCTCGCAACATATGGGAGGGTTCAATGACGTTAACCCATTGGCACATTGCCAACTCTCACCCTTTCTTGAGGGCCAAGAAGAGGGCAACCCCTCGCTGGTCGCCTTATAGCACCGGCTAAAAATGCATTTCACTGAATGGACATACGCTCAAAATCCCTGGACGGAGTTGGCGTGGCACTTAAAAATGGCATAGAATGGGTTACTTGGGGTATATCTCAATCTGGGACTCAACTTGATCTATGCTGGACAAAGACATGATTACAACTGTCCCAAAATGAAATTTATCTCTCGGAAACCTTGGCTGCCGCCATGTTCAATTAAAGTGCGCAGCCACGCCTAACGCATCCTAGGGATTTCGAGTATAGCTCGAATGTCACAACGAGTATGGGTCAAGAAATCGAAGCAGCATTGAATGTCACCATGCTTCAACTCATTTGACAGAAAAGAGTCAGTATTTGGGATCCATAATATCTAAGGCAATGCCCTCACGGGCGAAGCATATTTTCGTAACCAGGGCAGAACCACGTCCTCATTCTCTGCCTCGTTTGCGCCGTCACGCAGTGACACAGACACGACTACGACGACTAGACTCGATTAGAATGACCTACCCCCACCCCCTGAGAAGGAGCGGTCGAGCAGAAAAGGAGCACGGTCAAGTTTAGCTGTTAGCTGCCCCGCTCTTACCTAAGGCAGCTCTCAGACTCACGACGCGCTGTAACGCGCTGTAACGCGCCAGAGTTGCAACAGCGTTCCAGTCTGTAGACGCGAACGCAGCCGCGGACGGGAACCTATCGACGACGGGCGCTTATGTTCTGAGAGAGTACGGGGAAGAAGAAGGTACCAGACTGTGTTACTGCAGCGGCTACCCAGTTGTTATCCGATACTTCTCAAAGCAAGCGGCCGGCACCGAATGTTTAAAATTTGCGGCTGCGTCGCCTCTATAGCATTTGGTCGCCCTTCGCAGTGGTAGCGCGTCGACGCGCGTCATCGCGAAGTCTGAACGCTGCCTAGGCGATCTTTCATTTTCCTCACAACAAGGCTTGGAATTGTCGTGATTCCGATTCGTTCAGGAGATCATTAGGTCTTCACTTCTAACCCCGTGAGCAAAATTAGCGAGCTTATCGCTCACTGTTTAGAGAGAACGCATAGAAGACGACAGACAGAATGAAAACCTCATCTAGGTAATTGGGTACCCATTTCCGTAGAAGCACTTTAATAGCCTATTTTTCCCCTTGAATTTTAATTATCTCTTTTGTTCCCATACAATGCGTAGCTCCGAAGGACTCCCTTTTTTATGCGTGTTCACAGCACAAACGTGAAAATAGTCGAGCGCGACTGTTTGCATGTTTTTTCTGTAAATGCGGATCAAGAGCGACAGTGCCAGAAATCAAATCTGTTGCGAATTTTACTGATTTTCA